AGATTATATCAAGGGCAAACAAGAAAGATAAGACCAAAGTGACTGGCAAAAGAAACTCTGAAACATATTTTTAATCCTATAGAAGCTAAAGTAAAAGGAAGAAATGACATAAATAAGAGAGCTGAACCAAAGATTGAAAGGTCAGTTTGTGAAGACAAAGCAAAGTAGGGGTGGCAGGGAGGAAAATGTGCAACAATGAATGAATGTAAATCCAAAGTCTCCATAAACTTTTCATTAAAATTTCCATTAAAACACACACACACACACACACACACACACACACACACACCGATTACTTTGCTTTGTCTTCATGAGCTGACCTTAAACAGTACAAAGACCTGGAGCTAGAAAACCAAATGGGAAGAAGCTGAAAAAGCTCAACAACATCAAAATACGTTTCAAGCTGCAATACTGAAGCTTTCTTCCCCCTAAAATCTATTTTAATGGGAGCTTACAAATCTCAAAGGCCTTTCTAGACAGTCATTCATAGGCAATAATTACCATCAAATGATGCAATTAACTTATTGCAATGTCTAAACAAATCCTTAGTGTATATTGCTATTCCCTTCACCCACATAATACTGAAGAATTCTCTAGGATTCTTGTGAAATGACACAAGAAGCACCAAAAGAAGAAAGAAATCACTACCAAGTTGAACTGGTCAACAATAAATCTTTTCAGAAAGTTGCAAATAATAAAAAAAACATTGGTACTGAAGGAAGAAGTCCAAGCTATACTGAATACATTGGCAAAACAAGGTTCCAAGAATTGATGGAATATCCATTGACATATTTCAGCAAACAGATGCAGCCTTGGGAGAGTTCACTCTTCTATGATTAGAAATTTAATTGTATGAAACACAGTATGAATGAAGAATAGTGTGGACCACAATGTACATGAACTTAATTTAAAAATATGAAATTTTTTTAAAAGAAAAAAAAAAGACATTTGCTTGGCCAACCAACTGGTACAACAGACTGTGAAAATCATCAAACAACATGATTAATATCACATGTACGTAAAATCTTGCTGAAGATTATTTTTAAAATAACTTGAACAGTACATTGACTGGAAACTGCCAGAAACTCAACAGGCATTCAGAAGAGTCAGTAGATGGAAGATATCATTGCTGATGGCTTTCCACTAAGACAGAATAACAGAAAGATGTTTGTTTTATTATCTATGCAAAGGCATTCAATTACGTGGATCAAAATAAATTGTGGATAGCAATGAGAAGAAGGGGAATCCCAGGTGAGTTAATTGTGTTTACATTGTTGTTGTTAGGTGTCATCAGTTGAGACTCATAATGATCCAATGAATGACCCAACCCTTTGCCATCCTCATCACCTCTGACATACTTGAGCTCATTGCTGCAATCACTTGTGTCAAGCCATCTCATTCCAGGCTTTCCTCGCTTTTGATGACCCCCACCTTTTCAAGCATGACGTCCTTTTCCAAGAAATAACCTATCCTAACATGCTCAAAGTATGTGAGATGAAGCTATGCCACCCTTGCCTCTGGTTGCACTTTTCCAAGACATATGATTGTTCTTTTGGCAGTCCATGGGCTACTAAGTACTCTTCTCCAATACCACAACTCAAAGGCATTGATTTTGTGTAGCAAGTGATTGAAAATACTATGGCCTGAATCAGGTGCACTTTAGTATTTAAACTGATAACATTACTCTTTAGCATTTTGGAGAGGTCTTTGCCAGCAGATTCTTACAATGTGACATGTCTTTTGATTTCGTGACTGTGGTATTGGTTGTGGATTCAAGTAAGATGAACTCATTTACAATTTCGATCCTTTTCCTCCTAACATGATGTTGCCTATTTTCCTGGTGGTAGGATTTTTAGGGTTTTTTGTTTGTTTGTTTGTTTTTATGTTGAGATTAATACATATTGAAGGCTGGAGTCTTTAATTTTCTACAACAAGCACTGCAAGAGTTCTTCACTTTCAGCAAGCAAGGTTGTGTCATCTGCATAGTTCAGGTTATTTAAAGATATGGCTCTGATCTTGATGCCACATTCTTCTTCTTAGAGTCCCTCTTATCAAATTATTTTCTCAGAATACGGATTGAATAGATATAAAGGATACAGTTTTGATACACATCTTTCTGGATTTTACAATGTGCAGTGTTCCCTTGCACTGTTCAGACAACAGCTTCTTGTTCTAGATATAGGTTTTGTATGAGCAGAACTAAATATTCTGAGAATCCCATTTGTCTAAATGTTAACCATAGTTTGTTAACAAAAGCCACAGTCAAATGCCTTTGTATAGTCAAGAAAAGACAAATAGACATTCTTCTGGTATTCTCTGCCTTCTCTGCACGGCCCTTTCTAATCTTATACTCTGTGAAGTCCAGCCTTCTGCCCTTTCCGAACCTCTTGACTCATTTCATCAATTCAAGGAGACTTGAATTGATTCAAAGGGATTCATCTGGATCCCCCGTTCCTGTACTCGGAGACATAAGCTGTTGTTGCTAGGTGCTGTCAAGTGCAACTCATAGTGACCTTATGAACAACAGATCTGAACCATGTCCTATTCTGTGCCATCCCCCCACCTCCTCACACACTAGAGCACATTGTGGTAGCCGCTGTGTCAATCCACCTGGTTTGAGGGTTTTCCTCCCTTTGCCATCCCTCCACCTTTCCAAGCATGACGTCCCTCTCTCAGGATTAGCCTCTCCTACCAATGTGCTCAAAGTATATGAGATGAAACTTTGCCATCATTGCCTCTAAGGAGCACTCTGGCTGTACTTTCTCCAAGGCATATTTGTTTGTTCTTTTGGCAGACCATGGGATATTAAGTACACTTTTCCAAGAACCACAACTCAAAGACATCACTCTGTGATCCATATTCCTTGTCCAGCTTTCAGATATATAGCAATTGACTGTAAAGACCACAGCCTTCGTCCTCAAACAGACATCATTACTCATCAATAATTTGGAGATAGATGTTCTTGACTACAGGCTTTCCCAGTGCAATGTCTCCAGATTTCCTCACCGCTGGTTCCAAGTGTATTGATTATGGATCCAACTAAGATGAAGTCCTTGACAATTTCAATCTTTTCTCCATCAGTTGCTGCCAATTGGTCCAGTAACAAGGATTTTTGTTTCCTTTATGTTGAGATGCAATCCATATTGGAGGCTGCAGTCTTTGACTTCTTGTAGCAAATAACTTTAAGTCCTCCTCACTTCCAGCAAGCAAGGCTGTGTCATCTGTATAACAAAGGTTACTGAGTCTTTCTCCAATTTTGATGCTACATTCCTCTTCATATAGTTACAACCTTGAACACCTTTTCTAATTTTAAACCACGCAGTGTTCCCTTGCTCTGTTTGCATGATAGCCTCTTGGTCTAGGTCTAGGTTTTGCACAAGCACAATTAAGTGTCTTGAGATTCTCATTCTTTCTGTTAGCCATAATTTTTTATGATTCAGACAGCCAAATGCTTTTGCATAGTCAATAAAGCACAAATATTCTTGTTTTCTTTGCTTTAACTTTCCACAGGAGGTAAGGTGGGGACCATTTTATTGCTAACTTCATTTATTGTCCATTTCAAGAATCCTGTTCCTTTGTTGATTTCGATATCTTGAAAATCATAGAATCATAAATTTTGTCCATCTTTTTAGGTGTTTTTTCTTTTTTCTTTTTCAAGGTAGGAGGATGAATCTAGTTTCGTCTTGGCTAAAAGTGGAAGTTGGATTATCTGGAGTTCTTTTATAAATCCTACTATTATGTTTGTTTTCATTAAAGGTGCTGCTCTGATACATGCCATTCCACCAAAACCATAGTCAAAGGTAATCCCTTTTTCAGTTAGAAAAGGTTCAGAAGAAACATTTTCCAACCCCCACCCTCAGGGCAAAATTCTTCCTTTTGCCTTCTTTATCTTTTCTTTCTAAGGAGCTCTGGCTTAGGACATTGCATTGCTAACTCAGTAGTGACACATCCCTGGGAATTCTAATCCATCAGTCACTTAGTGGCAGAAAGATGTGTAATCTCCTCCCATGAAATGTAAAAATCCAGTGAAGGGTCAGTTTATAAATTGGTTCCAAATTGATGGCAATAAATCAGAGCTTCTTTTTTACCTCCTTTTAAAATTCTCTCAGTTTTTCTATTGACTTAGACTTTAGAAATAAATTCTAGGAAACCTTGCAGCTACTTTTTATTTCTTCTTTGCTATGTACCTCTCCTTGAGCACAAAAGACATAGACAGCCACCTACCCAATCAGGGAGATGCAGAGGGTGTTTTGAGAATAAAAACCAACCCAAAACATATACCATCTATTGATATCTCTACATATTGTCTAAAAACATATATTTAAATTCTTTTACTTGCTTTGTCTTCTATTCAGGTAAATCAGGTCAGTTGTTCTCTCTGACAGCAGGGAGTTGAGGTAATATACTATCTATATAGTGGCAAGAAGCTGCATTATAATCCTGAAGACACATGGTTCGAAGCCACCAGCTGCTCTGCGGGAGAAGGATAGGGAATCCCCTTCTGTGAAATTAACTACTCTGCAAACCCACAGGAGGGTCAGCTATGGGTTGGTTCTGACTTGATGGTAGTCAACAACTACAACATTGTATGATATATTATTATAAGTAATACTATTTATAATGTAATAATAGATAATATCAGTAATAAAGGATTTAATTTATTTAGAATTTGTGAAACAGACCATCAACTGCTCATATGCAAGTTCAAACTGAATGTAAAGAACATTAAATAAAACACACAAGAACCAACATTTGACCTTGAGTCTATCCCACCTGAATTAAAAAAAATAATCTCAGGGCTCTCTGCTCCTTGTCAATCAACAGATAGACCTCTCCTCTCGTGCAGCCTCAGCTGCATCCCTGAGACACAATGGTGAAGGCTGGAGTAAATGGATTTGGCCGCATTGGACACCTAGTCACCAGGGCTGCTTTTAACTCTGGCAAAGTGGATGTTATTGCCGTCAAATGACCCCTTTATTGACTTTAATTACAAGGTCTTTATGTTCCAGTATGACTCCACTCATGGCAAGTTCAATGGCACTGTCAAGGCTGAGAATAGGAAGCTGGTCATCGATGGGAAAGCTGTCACTCTTAGCGAGGTCCCACCAACATCAAGTGGGGTAATGCTAGGGCCGAGTATGTTGTGGAATCCACTGGTTTCTTCACAACCTTAGAGAAGGCTGGGGCTCACTTGAAGGGTGGTGCCAAATAGGTAATCATCTCTGCTCCTTCTGCTAATGGCCCCATGTTTGTGATGGATGTGAACCCTGGAAGTACGACAACTCTCTCAAGATTGTCAGCAATGTCTTTCCTGCACCACCAACTGTTTGGCCCCTCTGGCCAGGGTCATCCATGACAACTGTGACATCATAGAGGGACTCATGACCACAGTCCATGCCATCATTGCCACACAGAAGACTGTAGATGGCCCCTCTGTGATGGCCGTGGAGCTGCCCAGGACATCATCCCTGCATCTGCACTGCCAAGGCCATGGGCAAGGTCATCAGTGAGCTGAATGGGAAACTTACTGGCATAGTTCTTCACGTCCCCATCCCTAGTGTGCCAGTAGAGGATCTGACCTGTCATCTGGAGAAAACTGCTAAATATGATGACATCAAGGAAATAGTAAAGTAAGTATTAGAAGGGCCCCTCAAGGGCATCCTGTGATACACTGAAGACCAGATTGTCTCCTCTGACTTTAACAGTGACACCCACTCTTCCATCTCTGATGCTGGGGCTGGCATCACCCTGAATGACCACTTTGTCAAATTCATTTCCCATATGACAATGAATTTGGCTACAGCAACCGAGTGGTTGACCTGATGGTTTACACGGCCTCTAAAGAATAAAAGCTCCTTGGACCACCAGCCCCAGGAATAGCACTAGGAGAGAGAGAGAGAGAGCGCCTCAGCTGCTGGGGAGTCCTTGCCTCAACTCGATCCCCCACACCCACACACTGAGAATCTCACATCCTTGACTCTGTTTCCATCCAGTCCCCCTGAGAAAGGGGAGGGGCTTAGAGAGCCCATCTTGTCATGTACTTGATGGAATACTACACAGCATGCAGAAGCAATGATTTCTAAAATGACTACATAACTTGGGAGAGACTGGAGTGCATTATGAGTGAACTAACTCAGTTCCATCAGGACAAATACTGTATAAGACCATTATTGTAGAAAACCAGATAACTAGTAAAATGAGTATGAGGATCCAAGGGGGGAGGCTAGGAGCAGAAGGGTGAGGATGGGCAGTGTGGTAATCATAGAGTTGTACAATTTGATGGGTAGAGGGGAGGAGTGGGTAAAGGAAATCGGAAAGATCTAGTGTGAAAAACAATGTATGCAAACTTTGTAAGCAAACTAGTATAAAATAAAAATGTATGTTTAAAAACAATGTCCATTGTACTAAAATGGACAAAAAGCCATCTCAGGAACAGTTGTTTTTTTTTTTTTTCAGGAACAGTTTTGAGGCCAGATGAGCTGTAGGAGGTTATAAAAAATATTATCCATGAAAAATTCAAAAGGTCATTATAAAGACAAGGAGGAAGAAAAGACCAAGATGATTGTTGGAAGAGACTCTGAATATTGCATTAGAGTGTCGAGAAGCCAAAGCAAAAAGAAGAAATTATGACAGAAGATTTGAAAGATATGAACAGAAGATTTCAAAGGGCAGCTCAAGAAAACAAAGCAAAGTATTATAGCAAAATGTGCAAAGAACTAGAGTCAGATAATCAAAAGTATTGAACTTCCCTTAGCATTTCTTAAACTGAAAGAACTGAAGAACAAATTTAAGCCTTGATTTGCAATAGTTCAGGATGCTATGGGCAGAATATTGAATGATCCAGGAAGCAATAAAAGAAAAGGGAAGAAATACACAGAGTAAAAAAAAAAATACACAGAGTCACTGTACCAAAAAGAACTGGCCAACAGAGAAGTATTTCATGAAACAACTTATGTTGAAGAGGCAATGATGGTAAAGGAGGAAGTTCAAGCTGCTTTGAAGAAACTGGTAAATAACACGGCCCCAGGAATTGATGGAATACCAACTGACATATTTCAGTAAACAGATACAGTCCTGGAAGTGCTCACCAAGCTGTGTCAAAAAATCTGGGGGACAACCACCTGGCAACCAACTGACTAGAAAAGGTACTTATTTATTCCCATTCCAAAAAAAGGTGATCCAATTGAGTGTGGAAATTATAGAAAAATGTCACTAATTTCACACACACGCAAAATCCTGCTGAAGATTATCCAAAAGCTATTGGAACAGTACAACAACAGAGAACAACCAGAAATACAAACTGGGTTTAGAAGAGGCCATGGCACTAGGATCTTCACTGCCAATGTCAGATGGATCTTGGCTGAAAGCAGAGAGTACCAGAGGAATGTTTATCTGTGTAACATTGACTATGCAAAGGCACTCGACTGCATGAATCACAACAAATTGTGACTAACCTTGAGAGAATGGGAATCCTAGAACACCTGATTATGCTCATGCAAAACCAATACTTGGACCAGGAGAGAGTCATTAAAACAGAGTAAAGAAACATTGCATGGTTCAATATCAGGAAAAGAGTGCATCAGGGATGTGTCCTGTCTCCATATTTTTTCAGTCTGTAGGTGGATCAGAGTATTTGAGAGGTGGGACTTTGTAAAGAGGATTGTAGCATCAAGATTGGAAGAAGACTCATCAACAACCTGTGTTATGCAGAGGATACAACCTTACTTGCTGAAACTAAGGAGGTTATGACACATTTGCAGCATAGTCCATATTGCAAGGACTATAGTTTTCAATATGGATTGAAGCTCAATATCAAGAAAACAAAAATTCTCACCACTGGTCCAATTGACAGCATCATGATAGACGGAGAAGAGATTGAAATTGTTAACAATTATAACTCACTCAGTTCCACAATCAACGCTCTTGGCACTAGCAGTAAGGAAATCAAAAGATGACTTGCATTAGGAAAATCTGCTCTCAGGGACCTCTCCAGAATGCTGAAGAAAAAGGATGTCACTCTAGAGACTAAAATACACCTGATCCAAGCCATGGTCTTCACAATTACTTGCTAAGCATCAGAGATCTGGACAATGACTAAGAATGACAGAAGAAGAATTGCTGCCTTTGAGTTGTGGTGCTGGAGAAGAGTATTGAACATACCATGGACCGCCAAGAGAACAGGTCTGTCTTAGAGAGGGTGAAACCAAGCTGCTCCTTTGGAGGCAAGGATTTTGAAACACATACTTAGGGCATGTAGCCAGGAGGGACCAGTCTTTGAAGATGGATATTATGCTTGAAAGGGTTGAGGGACAGCACAGGAGAAGATGACTCTGGATGAGATGGATTGACACAGTAACTGGAGTAAGGAAGGTAGGTGTATCAGAGATAATGAGATTGGTTCAGGGTAGAGCAGGATTCTAAGCTATTGTGCATAGGGTCACTATGAGTTGCAGGTGACTCAATGGTACATAACAACAACACATAATATATTAAAATAATAGAATAAATATAGTAATATATAACATTATTAATAAAGAAATAATTTCATTTATTTTGAAATTACTAAGAGGCAGGTTCATGAGGAAGAAGCACAGCTTAGAGCTTAAGAATTTGGACTTCAGAACTGGGTTCAGCCTTCAGTAGTGTGTGATTCGGGTCAATCCTAAGCCTCAGTTTCCTCATCAATACAATTTGTTTCAAATAGTAGCCTTTCAACTTGAATGACTACTATTAAGAGTAAGCTCCTTGTTTTGTTCTTCTTTTTGTTTGTTTTCTTAATTGAGAGACTAAGAAATGAGCCTTAAAGATAGCTTCCATGCAACAACCTCTCAGCCTTAATGCACATCCTTCTTTTGGTGGTTGGTGGTGGTGGGGTTTTTTTTTCTGTTTATGTATGTGTTATCTCTCTCAGAACTCTCATGCCAAGATAATTAGTAATCTTGTACTCAGTGAGCAACAAAGTCTAAGTTGACCCCAAATTTTATTTGAGGTGAGTATTGCCACACACTCTATCCTCATGCCCCAGGGGTGAGTGAAAGGGCTTTCCCTCCTTCTCAGGTAATGAGGCTTTCTGAGATCAGAGTAGGCTTCCTAACCTGATCCAAAAATGACATGACAGGAAGCTGACTTAGACTTTTTAATGTAGTAAAGGACAAAGGCCTGTGTTGTTAGAACTTTTAACCGGTACCAAATTCTTTCTCCTCAGCTTGCTCAGATGTGGGGCAGAAGGCAAAGTTGTTGTTGTTGTTATGGGCCACTGAGTTGATTAAGACTCATGGCGACCCTCTGACCAGCGGAGCTGAACCTTACTCTATACTCCACCATCTTTTTGACCTTCACCAAGCTCCAATTCATTGTTACGGTCACTGTGTCAATCCATCATCTTGTTGAGAATCTTCCCCTTCTCTGACACTCTACCCTTCTCAGCACAATGTCTTTTTCCAAGGACTGGCCCCCTCCTGACAACATGCTCACAGTATGTAAGTTGAAGCTTCAGCATCCTTACTGCTAAGTAGCACTCTGGTTGCACTTCCTCCCAGAAAGTCTGGTTTGTTCTTTTGGCTGACGATGGGACAGTCAGTGCTCTTCTTCAGGGCCACAATTTAAAGGCATCAATTCTTCTGTCACTTTATTAGTTGTACAACTTTCATATATGTAGGAAGCAATTGAAAAGAACATGGCTTGCATCAGGCTCACCTTAGTCTTGAAACAAGCAGACATCATTGCTCTTTAGCACTTCAGAGAGGTCCTTGACAGTGGATTTTCCCAATGTAACACATCTTTTTGATTTCTTCTTTTTAAAATCTATTTTAAAAAAAATTTATTATTACTTTCAATGAAAATGTATAGACTTTGGATTTCCATTCTTTCCCCACCCCCCCACCCCAGAACACTAACCTCTTGGAAAAGTAAAAGAAAAATTCTTTCATGTTTTACAATACCTCCCCTCCAGGTCCACTCCACTATGCAGCCTCCGCTCTGGACTCCTGTCATGACAAAAATACCTAATCACACATCCCTTTTAAACAGTTTTCTCCCTCATCTGTTTCAGTGCAATATATATTATTGAGCCCATCTTTCTCAGTCTCTTCCAACCCCAATGTCAGTCCTGTTTCACAACAGTGGCACCATGCAGTATTTGTCCTTTTGTGACTGAGATACTTCACTCAGCATAATGTCCTCGAGAGTCACACATTTTGAATAATATTGCATGAGTTCTTTGTTTTTCAATGCAGTGTGGTATTCCATTGTGTGAATATTCCACAGCTTCTCTATCCATTCTTTTGTTGATGGGAACTTAGGTTGTTTCCATCTCTTTGCTATTGTAAACAACGCTGTGATAAACATGGGTGTGCATATATCTGCTTAGGTGGCAGGTGTGGTCTCTTTGGGGTATATTCCCAGTAGTGGTATTGCTGGGTCAAATGGTATCTCTATTTGCAACTTTTTGAGAAAGCGCCATACCGTCTTCCAAGTGGTTGCACCATTTTATACTTCCATCAACAGTGAATAAGGGTTCCAGTTTCTCCACAATCTCGCCAGCATTTGTTGCTTGCTGTTCTGTTAAATTTTGCTATTCTAACTCGGGTGATATCTCATAGTGTTGGTTGTGGATCCAAGAAAAAGGAAATTATTGACAACAGCAATTTGTCATGATGTTGTCAGTGGTGATTATATCTATATATCTCTAGCTCTAGCTCTACCTATATCTATACCTATATCTCTATCTCTATCTATGTATAAATTAAATTATCAAATTATATATAAAATGATATTTAAATAGTAGCCTTTCAACTTGAAGGACTACTATTAAGAGCAGGCTTCCTTGTTTTGAAAAGTATTTTTATGTTTTGTTGTTTTTTAATTGAGAGACTAAGAAATGAACCTTACAGATAGCTTCCATATAACAACCTCTCAGCCCTAACGCACATCTTTCTTATAAATTATTGTTGTTGTGGAGTATCAGAACCATAGCTGACCCTCCGGTGGGTTTTCAGAGGCTGTTAATCACACAGAAGATTTCCCATCCTTCTCCTCTGGAGCAGCTAGTGGGTTGGAACCATGTGCCTTTGGGATTGCACTGGATGCTCTCTGGCGGGGGGTTGGGGGGTGGGGGGTGTGTGTATAAAAGATATATCTATATTTTTAAATGTACATATTTATTTCTTGTCAAAATGTAAATACTTTCATTACTGCATTTAAAATGAAACTTTACCGTACAGTTGTTTCCTACATATTCCACTGCATGTATTCGCTAATTTGTGTTTTTTTGTTGTATAGGTTACACTGCTGCATATCCAACACAATCCTCCATTCCTTCTAGATTTCGAACTTTGAAATATGCAACATCAGAAAGAAAAGGATTTAATAGTCAAGTCAAGAGATTCTATTATAAAAAGGTAATTACATTTTCTTTTTAGTCTGAATTTTAGCCTTGTTCTATTTGGCCTCACAAGATTGGCTACTTTATTTGACTGGTGTATTTATCTTTTTGAACAGTAGAGGGCAGGATTGTTTAAGGAGCCACACAGCGCCCTCTGTAAGGTGCCCTAACAGTAAATAAGCTTGAAAATGGGAAATCTACATCTGGATTAAAAACAACCGTGTTTGAATTTACCATAGTGCCACAGTAAATGAAAAAAAGAATAAAATGATTAGTTTTTAAATTATGATAAAAACAGTACAATTCAGATCGTAAAATTCTTATTTCTCTCTTTACCAGCCTTCCTTTCTGAAAGAAATATTTTCTTCAAATAACGAGAGAGGAAAAAAATAAACCAGTCTCATAAATCTAGAATTTTCTTTGAGATGAGGTTCTTTGATAAACTTCCGGGGAACAATTTTTTGTTGCTGTTGGGTACCTCAGAGTGGGTTTTCTCCACCTCTATCCATTCCCTAAATCTCTGTGTCACGTCTCTGATCTGAAAAGTTCCACTTGGCTCCTAACAGGCCCTTCCTTAAACCCTTGGGACTTTATAGGTAAGGATCCCTTGTGGTAAAATATGTTTCATCTTGGACAGCAGACTGAAAAAAATCGAGATACCAGCTGCTCCTCCTTTGAGAATTTATAGTCCCAGAAACCTAGTAAAAGGGTCACTGTAAGATTCAACTGGAGGACTGTGCTTTTCTATGTTTAGAAGTCTTGGTGGCATAGTATATATTGTGTTGCTAACCAAAAGGTTGGTAGTTCGAAGCTGCCAACTGCTCCTCACAAAAGCCATGGGCAAGCCCCTCTCAAGGAGATTTACAGCCTCAAAATACCCGGTGTAGTGTCGCTGTGAGGCAGCTCATACCATCTCAACCATCTGGTCTGGAGTTTGGCCTTCTCCTCTCTCACCAGCAGGGGCTGACGCAACCCACAGATCTCTTCCTTAGCAATTTTACTCCTAATGTGAAACAATGAATGAATGACAATCCAGCTTTTCTGTAAACTTTAGTGAAAATTACAATTTAAAAAATGGTATAAAATATTTCACTCCTTTTCTCATTAGACAAGGCCTTTAGAATGACATTCTTTTAGAAAGTCAGCATCTTAGTAACCTTTCACTGCATTTTTAAAATGTGAGTTTTACCCTCCTGCCTCACTAAAGTGGTGGGGGGGTGAATGCATGAGACTTTGAGGCGCCAGACCGTTCGCCCCACAGCCTGCTTCCTCCTCTATAGATGAGAATGCCCAACAAGAAGACCTAAGTTCCTTCCACTTCCCAGGTTTTAGAATTCTAAGGAAGAAAACATATATCTATGGTTTTCAATTTCTTACAGGCTTCCCCCCCTAAAGATGACAAAGAGGACATTTGCTTAGGTGTTTTCTCTCTCCTCTCTCTAGTCTTTCTGGCTGTCTTAACTGCTTCTCTGTTTCCATTTTTCTTTTCTGACTGGTTTATCATTTGTCAATTTAATGATAATATGGTGGCCTAGTGGCAAGAAGCTGTGCTGCAATCCCAAAGGTGTTCAAGGCTGCCAGCTGTTCTGTGGAGAAGGATGGGCAATCTCCTCCCATGTGATTAACTGCCTCTAAAACCCACCAGAGTGTCAGCTATAGGTTTGTTCGGACTCAACAGTGCACAATAACAATAACAAGATCCATTGATTGATAAAGTGACTGTAACAGTGGGCTTAAGGACAGCAGAGACTCTGAAGATGGTCCCAACTGGACAGAGTTTCCCTCTGTACGTAGGGTCACTATGCCTCAAAGCTGACTTAATGACACCTAACAACAATATAGTCCATCCCCAGTATATTAACAACCCAGCTTCCAATAAAAATAAGAGTAGCCACCATTTTTCTGGTCCCCTACTATGTGCCAAGTCATTTCTGGACCCTATCACTCATTCTCAGAACAACCCTTGAAAGGAAGGATTTATTATCTTAATTTAGCAGGAGAGGAAACCGAGACTTAGAGAAGTTCGGTGGCCCACCCAGTGTCCCAAGATGTCTAATACTGGGTTTGGCGCTTAGGGGGCCCTCCCTAAATATTTGCTGAATTAATGTTGAAAGAATTAGACCTCAAACCCAGCTCGAGCTCACTCCGAGCTCACTCCGAAGCCTCATCCTCTTCCCACACGCTGCACCACACCCCCGTTTGGTGACCTGCGAAGTTGTAAATTTGGTTTAGGAATGTCAGAGTGTTTGTGATAGGGCCTATTTGAAAGAGACCAAAGTCAGTGTAGGGCCAACTCTCAGGTTCTGAAGACTGAAAGCCAGTGAGCGAGGCTCGGGCTGAGCTGAGCGTGGAAGTCAGCATTCGAGGGACGTTCAAAGCACTTACAGTGCTCCAATGGCAGGCAGCCAGACCAAACACAGCATCAAAGGAGAAGTAGCTGAGAAATTGGATCCTGACTTTTCAAACCTGGATTGCTTTGGCATGGCAGTAGGAAAGCTTTCACCTGAACATTTGAAAGCATTTTGTAAATCAGTATATTTGATAAAAATGGCACAGGAACCACAACTCAGGGCCCCCCAGATTCTTTCCTCTCTCTAGCTGTGTTAATTTAAACTAGTCAGTTGACTCTTTTGGGCTTCAGTTTCCTCATCAGAAACACTAACTGTAGGGTTGTATCATTTTTAAGGTCTCTTCAAGCTATTAAGAAAGAGCTTCTGATCCTGTGCTCATTGTTCTCGTTTTTTTTCCTGAGGGGAACGGGCACAGAGAAGTTAAGGCTCTTGTTTAGCATCACCCAATAATTTAGTGAGGCAACACAAATTAAAAACAGATTTTAAAACTCCAGTGCCTGCCTCACCCCCCTTCTTAAACCATGAATCATACACACCCTCGTGTCTGTTCTCATAGCACGGTTGTGGCCTCACTTGAGTTCCGTGACCCACTTAGTACATCCTCACCGGAGAGAAGCCGAGCTGGCTGAAACGTGCGCTAGCCTGGGCAGTTCGGCTCTGCCGAGAACCACCAGGGCCTGCTGCCCAGCTCTCTTCCACTGGAAGCACGTGACAGCTGGGTGCAAGGCCGACAGCCAGCGTGCAGTCTGGCAGTTTTAGTTCTGGGATGAAGTTCACTCGCCTGCACATTTTACAATTGTTTGCAAATGTGTTGGTGACTTTGTGCACATGGAGTGACACGCATAAGCCCTGATGGACCATAACTCCACAGACGTTTGGACTTTTTTCTTCACCCACTTCTTCTCTTGCATCCCCAGGCCACTCTGGCTTGCCGTCATTGTTTCTCAAGCTGTGTCATTCGAAAGCTTTCACGAATGTCTTTGCATCTCCATTTTCTCATCTTAAAAATAAGGGTGTTACAGTGGGTAGGACCTTGCCAGGGATTAGGATTTTGTGATTTTAAGCCTGATCCCTTTCATGCTCCAATGATTGAATAGTGGTGGGACCTGGGTGCATTTAAAACTCATGTTACTTTCATACAGAATCCTAGAAGTAAGTCCATGCTCCTGAGTGGTAGGCAGGTCAGGATTTAATTTGGGGTGAAACTGTACGAAGTGAATACTGTTCACTCATTTAATAACGTAAGACACCAGAGCAATGCTATTCCAAATGACAGGGATCTTTAAATTAAAACAAGCTCAGTTTGCAGAGCTATTTGTGTTTCAAGGGCACAATTACCCCAAGTGTACACTCAGCTACATATTAAAATCAGCTATTGTGGCTTAAATCCCATTTATTATACCAATTTTTCAGACAATGACCCCAAGACACAAATAGGGCTTGGTAAGTAGTCCAGCAGAGCAAGATCAAACCCAGGTAGCAGCTCCTGGTTTCTAGACACCATTGCCCTGTGGGTAGTCAACAGGATCTGACCAGTGTCCCCCTTTTTAGAAGGGACCATGTCTTCGTTTGAACTCCCACAGGCCTGTTTTGTGGCTTTGACTACTATCTGCCCAACATTACCATAAAGTGTTGGTTTAACGTATCAGGTCATTTTAAGAAGTCTTTGTGGCAGAGTGCATACGTCTTGGATTGCTAAACAAAAGGCCAGCAGTTCAAGTCCACTGGCTTCTTTTTTGAAGAAACAGACAATCTCTTCCTGTAAATCTTTACCACCTCAGAGAACTGATGGAGAGGTGCTGCTGCTTTGAGTGGACTTCATGGCAACACTGTAGCTGCTTTACGGATTTATTTTTGTTTTTCAATTGTGATGAAAATACATGGCAGTGAATCTGAATCACCAGTTCATACATGTATAATATGGGACATGATTACTCCTGTCATATTGTACATCTGTTGTCACCATGCTTTCCCGTGAGGGCACCTCTTGTCTTCACCCACCAGGGAATCCCTGGGACAGCATTTCTGAGTGCTTCCAGCCTCATGCCCTCTCCAGACCTTTATAGCTCTTTAGAAATGGTTGAATGAATGAATGGCCCCAACTCAAATCTATGCATTTCTCATCAAATCTTGAGGACTCATCCATTTCTCACAGCTGTGACTGCCTTCTTCATCCCATTACTTGTGAGGCTGCGCCAGTATTTTCAGCCTTTAGCACATGACCCAGCAGAGAGTGGGGCTTTAATAAGTATTTGTTTACTTGATATATCAGCCTTTAGAGAGAAGAAGGCCCTTAGAAAAGGGAAGTATGGTTATTCTTCAGAGACAATTCTGATCATCTCTGATGCTTTGAAGCTACACGTTTCACTTCTCATGTCTGACCTTGTTTCCCAACCAGCCCTCTTCCTCGTCTGCTCAAGTGGCTCAGTGACACAGACACCTTTACTTTCTCAAACCCACGCTTCCCTTCTAAGGGAGCTCTGGTAACTTCGTGATAGGGAATTGTGCTACCAACCCAAAGGGATGTGGTTTGGATTCACCAACTGCTCCAGAGAAGAAAGATGAATAATCTCCTCCGGTGCTAATTACTGTCATTGAAACCACCCTTGAGAGCCAGCTATGAGTGGGTTCTGACTCCATACTACACAACAACTACCCTTGTTTT